CCCCGGGTAAGCACAAAATCTCAAAATCGAGTTTCTGCCCAGACACTGCCTTTAAGGGAGAATTCACTGGGTTTCATAAGAAGGCACATTCGTTTTTGCATCGAAAAGAATAAGCGCAACAGGACGCCACGTTTCTTTCTTGTAGTCCGATAGTTAAATTTGAGTTTTTGGACTCCTCCCACTATGGACGGCATTACCGTGGCCATCTAACTACTATTCATCTTACTGACTGACCATCTCCAGCATTCCGACAAGCTTTGTATCAAACACTATGGCGTTTGGAGGTGTAGCCATCGGTAACATGAAAGCAAACGAGCAAGCAACGGTCACCGGTAACGATAGAGTAAGTGGATGAACATGGATAGATTCGGCCTGAAGTTGTAATTTTTTCCGTTGCTTTGTTATCGCTATATTATCGAAAGTCGACTTACAATCGTCAACACAATTGGGATAAACACACTTCCAGTCGAAACGTTGCTTGCAAACTCGGTCATAAAAGTGATCGAAGCGGTCACAGCAACTAAACAAAATACCATGCAATTTTTGGGTTTATCCTTCTTTTCTTACGTAGGAGGTAGACGTGATCAAGCTTGCCAAAAACGTCTTTCATCAGGCATGCGATCAGGGTAGAAAGCCCCGATTTCTGAAATCGAAAATCAATATGTCAGATACCAAAATGATCGCAAAGCACGGAGAAAAACCGAAAATTGCTGTAAATCTAACACATAGCACTGATTCTCCTTCTCCTAATTCTCGTGTGGAAGTGCCCGTGGTTGATGATCGCAGATTCTTGTAGGTGTAAACTGGTGAATCGCAGAAAAAAAAGGAGGTAGAGGAAAGAAACGAAAACAATATTCCTTTTTGAACAAACAAGGGAATTTGAATTCTTTGCAAGCAACAGGCAGAATCGCAGAAGAAGCTTTTTCGCGTTTCATTCGAAAATTCAAGGACCAACTTTTGAAATGAATAGCTTTTTCAGATTTTCTGGAAAGTTGGCCACCTCTCGTCAAAAACTAAATTTGTCTTGTCTCCTTATTCATATCAGTCCTCCGCTAATC